AAAAAAAAAAAAAAAAAGCTTTGCAAGACAGAGTAAAGCACAGAGAGGGATCTTTCATAAAGTTTTCATTTTGGACAAGACCAAAAAATCAGACGCATTGCTGTCAAGTTGATTCTGCCTCATGGCAGCTCTATGTTGCAGAGTACAACTATTGTTTGGGATTCACTTGATTATAATTTTTATGGCAGTAAATTGCCAGGGCTTCCTTCTGTGACACTGAGGATTAGGTTTGAACTCCTAAGCTTTAGGTTAGTAATCGAAGACAGACTGTTTGCACCACACAGGGACTTTCTGTGTTTCATTACTACTTATAAGTCTTTGTAAGTGTACTGGGAATATTGAATTACTTACCAAGTATCACTTTTGGCAGCAAAAATGGAACAGAAGAAAGATTATTAGTGATGATAATCATGGAAACATTTATAAGCAATACAATAGAAAGGAACAAATACCCCCAAACCAAAATGTTACCACTTGGTCATTTCTATTTAAGGAACAACTTATGACTTGAAGTACTTCTTTATAGATGTGTTACAAATCCCCTGGCTATAGTAAAATAAAGATATTTTTGATGTGTGACATGGTTAATTTCCATATGCAAGGGTGTGTATATATGTGTGATCGTAGTTCTGTGATCTCTAAATATCTATTGCTGCATTATGTTTTTGTATCTAGCCTATTTTTATAAGGTCAATTTAACCATAACAAACTATGTCACACTTTGGCCACTTTTCAGATGGAAAAGTTGGAACTGAAATGTTATATAAGCAATGAAAATATTTTCTAATTTATTAATTAAACATAAGCTATGTGTTTTTTGCCTCAATTTACATATGAACTTCATAATAAATTTTTTACTGTTTAAGATTGGATACAGTACCTATTAGAGGCCTCGTATAAAATTTAAAGACAAATCACAAAACAGCAAACTGTGTGCATTTAAGAAGGCTATATAATGCTCAACAGTAAATTCCATATCCACAGACTTCATAAATTATATGTATTTCAGGGATGCATAAGGACATATAATTATCTTTCTCTTAAAAACAAAGATCTGTACTATGTGTTCTTTTATTTGACTTAGCTTCTTAGCAGAATTTGCAGTATTTTTCACAACATACTTTTTGCAATAACAAGAAAAATTCTTTGTGTTGATGCTGTAACACTCCCCTCTCAGTTCAGCCAACACTTACGTAGAAGTATGTTCAGTGTCTACACCCTTATTCTATGCTCCATTCCTATTTTTGGATGTAAATTATCTATGTGTGTAAATGACACATATCGGGGTATTATTATGAACCTAGATGAACACGTTTAAAGAATAACAAATTTGTGGCTGATATTAATGAATATTCACACTTTTGAGTATACACTGGCACTGTAGGATTAATATTAGACTGCAAATCACAAGGTTAGCAGTTCAAACCACAAGTTGCTCCTCAGAAAACCTATACAGGGTCATTATGAGTCAGAAATGGCTTGACAGCATTTAACAACAAACACCACAATGATAAGATGAAAACTATTTTTGTAATTGCAGGAAAAAGTCAATGGCAGAGCCACAGGTAGAAAACATATTTTTATTGTTATGTACGTTTCTAAAAAGGGCCTCTGGCAGCGTTGTTGTTGTTGTTGTCAGGTGCCATCGAGTCGGAACCGACTCATAGTAACCCCATGCACAGCAGAACGAAACAATGTCCGATCCTGGGCCAACCTCACTACCGCTGCCACACTTGAGTCCATCAATGATGCCACCTGGCTGATCCAT